CCTGGAGCAGACGCTGCTCAACTGCGCCCCAGAGACGGACACGCCGGATGATACCGTCATGGCTGGAACTCAGAACGGGGACGCGGCGCCCGTCCGGAAGAGTTGCAGCGACACGGCTCTAGACGCCATCTCTGCGCTCGATGCCTCAGGGAGACGCAAAGGCAGCTACGCGCTTCATGCTAACGGCGTCCGGAAGAGGGGCATGTCCATCCTACGGGAGGTGGATGAGCAGTATCACGCCCTCCTGGAGAAGTACGAGGAGCTGCTAGGGAAGTGCCGGCGCCACGAGGAGAGTCTGTGCCACGCTGAGGTGCAGACCTCCCGACCCGTGTCCCGGGACCCGTCCATGAAGGAGTGCCGTATCGCAGAACCCCAGCGGCCGCCCACTCCTCCACAGACGCCCTCGACTCCTGAGGCCCTGGAGGGAATCAGCCGGCAAGTGGAGGCTGTGGACAAGCGGCTGAGCCAAAACACTCCCGAGTACAAAGCCCTCTTCAAGGAGATCTTTTCCCGCTTGCAGAGGACCAAGAGCGACATTAACTCCACCAAAGGGAGGAAAAGTGACACAAACTCCACCAAAGGGAGGAAAGGTGGAAAATAGCCGGTTTCGCTCTTAATATTCGTGCCACTGATTCCGTTTCCTCAGTCGTTCATGTAACGTCTTTTCTTTTTTTCGAAACTACAGTCAGAAAGATGTTTAGAGGGGGCTGTTAAGTACAACCCATCCCTGAATCATTTGGTGCCACATATCAAGAGATAAATGGTGTTTTTTTTCTGTTAACAGGATGTTCGTCGTCTAATGTGCTTTTGCCGGGTTGGCCTTTTAGTGTAGACCATATTACTCACTATTGGTTAAACTGTTAACCACCTGAAGATGATCATTGCTGATTATTTCCTTTCTCGCATGCATTACATGTTATGAATAACCACAGCGTTGTGTAACCACTTTTGTTCAATATTAAATCACACTTTGCTTTAGAAGGGTGTTTGATACATTTATTACCTTGAGCATATGGATGAACGAGTGAGTGAGTGAGTGAGTGAGTGAGTTGAGTGATCGGGATGAATCCGCTGTAGGGTTGTGTCTAGAAGGAAACCTTGTTCTGTGAAAAATCTTACATGCAACAGTTTTGGCCCACAGACTGACCATCTGACGCACATTTCACACAAAACTGGCCAACAATTGCAGAAAATCAAGTTCTTATCTTGCTGGCTTTCTGTAACATCTGGGAGTTTGGGTGAACCTGTCCACCAGGAACTAAAGGTGCCCACGAGGTACTAGATTGCTACAATGAGGAAGCACTAATCACTGGGCCTACAAAAGGTTTAGGTTAGTTCCATCAAGTCGTATTTAGATGATATTCAGTACTTTGAGGCGCTTAGTAGTTTGAATATATAGTCTTGCTTATGGGTATCTCTGAGTCTTCAACAATTGGTAATTTTGGATGAACACAAATTCTGATCGCAAAGTCTCCATCCATTTTTCTCTACGTTTGGCTAATTTCTGGTGTTAATCAACCATTTTGAATAACCCCATCCCTCAAAATATAGTCAAATTAAAATTAAAATGAACTGTGGACACTTTCTTGTTAGTCAGTCTCCTCTTTAGAGTAAAGCCTAAAGTATACTCCCCTTGTCTGCCTTCTGCTCTGACAATTTGTATCTGCGTGCAGCCCAATTAGGTCCACTAGGTAGTGGGCATGTGCCCAATGCATCCATCCGCGCACAGTAGCTGTATTTTCATGTACGCTTATAATCGGATTAGTAGCACAGTCGGAATAAAAAAGTCGCATACAACCACGTCAGTCGGAATGAATTGGCCAAATCCTATTCAAATTTCATTCGGATTGTAAGTGGTAGTTTAAACCTTTTCTAATCCGATCGAGAGGACATGCAAACACTTGATCGTGTGATGCGTGGAACAAGCTGTTAAGTGTCATAAATGACTGTCATGTAATTTTAAAAGTCTCCACTCATCTTCTGTGAAGTACAGCAAGACAACGTCCCACCAGTCCTTGTTTCAGACCCTCATCCTCAGACTGCTTGTTTTGGACACGGGAAGGGGCGTTTTTACTGCTTGATAAATATAAGCAGCACGGCACAATGGTTCATGTGCTCGTCGTCTCCAAATTGGGACCCTAAATAGATAAATATTAAAGGGATAATTCACCCGAAAATGTCAATTTGCGTAGGCCGTCTGCCGAAAGCTAGTCATAAAGTTTTAAATATGTATATTTTTTCTTACCAAAACCCATTGCTTTGCTTCAGAAGGAGTTTATTAAGCCCCTGGAGCCGTATGGATTTCTTATGATGGATGTGCTTTTTTTGGGCTTCAAAATCAGAACCACTATTCACTGCCATTATAAACCTTGGAAGAGCAATGGTATTTATTAATATAACTCATCATATCCTCCTAATTGTATAAGAATGTCATTTACACCTAGGATGGCTTGAGGGTGAGTAAATCATGGGGTAATTTTCATTTTCGGGTGAACTGTCCCTTTACGTCTGCTCTTTAAAACAAAGAAGCAACGTAGGTAACGTTTAAACAGCGGGAAACTGTATATTCGTCCAGTGTGCGCATGTAAAAAGATCAATTCTGATTTGAAGCTTGTTACATAATGCGCACATCAACCCGATCACTTTATTTAGAGTTCATGTAAACTACGTTCAGATTCATTCAACAAACGGTGTCCGTGTCCCATGAAACGTAGCTACTGTCAATGAAGTGTACTTTGAATGTCTGGTGTGCTCAACTGTGCGCTAGATGGAGTAGAGCTCAGAAAATGAAGTATACCTAGCTCTAGCTGTAATGTAGACCAGACTTTATGCCGATAGTCAGGACCATAGATATCCATAATAAAGGCTAGATGTCTCGTCCGCGCTACTGGCCAATGGAGGTCGACGTCCGCACCTGGCGGCCATCTTGTCACAGGCAGCTCGCTCACTCGTAACATTGTGTTTTAATGGTGCATGTACTTTTTAAATAACCATAACTTGCTCAATTTTCTACTGATTTTCAAACGGTTTGGTTTGTTATAAACGTCAGAGATGTAGTTATGACACTGCATACTTATGAATAATAAGTGTATAAATAAATAATCATCCAGAATTATAGCCACGTTAATAACGTTTGTAAGAAACCAAACCGTTTGTAAATCCGTCAAGATTTCAACGAGAGTATTTGTGTTCGTGCTGATCACTCATCTTACATCAGGTACCATAGATCCCGCCAGAAAGCTTGCCTGTGGCAAGATGGCCGACGGTGATGACGATAGAGTAAGACATCTAGCCTTTATTATGGATATCTATGGTCAGGACTGGCTGTGCAAGACTACAAGACAACTCCTAACCTTGGTGCCACTAAGTTCAAAGTCAGAATGAGGCTTCCCATCTAGACATCACCCTGGTGAAGTAAAACAAAAAACAATGGTACAGAATTGATGTCGGTGAATGGAAGACAAAAGAAACGGTCTGTTCTGAACACTTTAATGTTGACACAGGTGAACAGTAATCTCCAGATAAGTACAAACAGGTGAAGACAGAAGCAGCATTCTGGACCAGCACAACAAGCCACTACTTTGCAGGCAATGTCACCGAAAAAAAGAAAAAAACAAGCGTGTATAAAACAGTACAGTGATGCATGAGCACATCCTCTCTCGTTTGAACATTGAGGTCAGACTACACCTGGACTGGAACTGAGAGTTGAGATTTAGGGTTCACTCCAGATCTGTTCCCACTACAAATGCACCTCCTTTAGAGTCCTGACTTTCTTTCCCTTAGGTTTACGCATCGAGAGCAGCGTGTGGTCGTCAATACTGGAGGCACAATCTATGGTGTTGGTAATTTTTCTGTAGAATAGTTCAACACTTGAGATCTGTTAGTGAAATCAGACTTTTTTTAAAACCTGGCAACTCACGTAAACCACAAGCAAAGGGCACATTCTGAAGCACCAGTCGTCTTTGGAAGGGATTTGATAACTGAATTGGGGGAAAATGTTTGCTCAGCATCAAGGTTCACCATCTTCTACTGGCCTTCAAGGTTGGTCCATCCTGAATTGAGCCGAATGAACGAGGCAGAAGATGTGACCGCCAGTCCCTTGAGGGAGCAAGAGTCGGTAAAACACCTTGGCCTCTTCAGGACTAAAGACTTGAGTGAATTTAAACTTAAGATGCTAAAAGGCAGCTCCTCAATGTCTTGCTACAGGGATCATTTTTAAGGCCACATGGCGATGAAATGGTTAACACAAAAACCCCTACGCCGTTAGAGCAGGGCAAGGCTGATTCTTAGTACGGCTCCCCTAGTGGACAGGATGACTAAAACCATAATCGGACACGCACACATTCATACCGAGAGCCAAGTAAAGACCTGCGCCGCTACAATCGCTAACAGTTACCCGTGCTACACTAACCCTAGGCTCATCTCGAAGGCATCGGACACGTTCCCTCTGGGCAAAGGCAAACTTGAGTTATGAGGGAATGCCAGTGGCAAAAATATCAGCAAGTGGCACCTTCTCCCATTACACTCATAAAGGCAGATCATGGTTAAAAAAGAAAACGAGGAATGTCAGAAAAAAAGGAATGACGTGGGATAATCGGGAAGGGTTCGGGGACACGAGAGGAAGACGAGGGGCAGTGAAGATTACTAATAACATCCATGTCAAAAGTATCCATGAGGGTTTTTTTTTTTTTCTGAATTTTTTTTTTTTTCCTCTTGGTTTTACTTTTATATACAAACAAACCAAAACACAAAATATGGATTGTGCACGTTTTTGTTTGTTTTCACATATATATTTCATGAAAAGCCTCAATACTCATTTGGGAGGGAAAGGGATAGGAATGTGTGGAGGAAGGGATTGAAGATGTGGGAAGTGGACGGAGTGAGAAAAATCCTGTTCCTTTGAATCAGTTAATCCAGAACTATGATGGTGATGACGATGATGGAGGGGAAGAAAGGGAGTGAGGAATTAGGTAGGAGAATGGCAAGAAGGAAAATGGGGGTTTGGAAACCACTCAATCTTTCCATTCCTTCTTGATGTTGAGGTTCCATTCCCAGGACAGGTGGTCGTGCTTGTCGTCGTCAGTGAACTTGGATTTAATGTTGTAAGTGCCTCGGGCCAGCATGCCTTTGGGCGCCTCCTCCAAGGGTGTCAGGAACTCGTATTCATTCGGCCGGGGCCCGTAACTGCCCACCATGTAGTCAGACTTGTCAACTGAACACAAGAAACCGGTGAAGAGGTTTCGGTTAAATAAGACTACTTGCTATATTAATTCATTGTCAGTGAGTGGAGGTTAGAGCAATCAAATCTTTCAACAACCCAAAAAAACATTGATAGCACATGCTTTGATCGAATGACCCCAAGACCCCAAAAACGCCCTTGTACGAGTTTATGTATTTTACATTTATAACATGATAAATAAAGCAAAATCCCACCAGACACGCCACAGGATTTACATAACAGCTTTCCAAGAAGAATGGAAAAGGGCGGCCCTTATGGAAGCATTTGGGTAGCAATATTCAATTTGAAATGCAATTTGTAAAATGACAATGCATTTCTGTATTTAAATTTACATTTTCCAATACATTTGTGCAACGTTTGGTGCAAAATGATAATTCAATGATATAATTTACATTTGCCATTTCAAACACTAGTTTTAATATGGAAATTGAATACATATTGTAACGCTTTATAAGTTGCAAATTTAAAATGTATTACAGAAATGATAAGATACGTTTAATATGTTCAAGCAAAAACTGTATTAAAAGTATCATTTAAATGTTATTTTTCTTAATTGCATGCATTTACACTCACAGTTAAGGCGCTCGCGATTGCATTTTCATTAAATGTCCCGAAATGAATGTAGCAAAATTCAATGTGCAAATTGTCATTTTGCATATTACATTTCAAATTGAATATTGCTACCCATATGCTTCCATAGGCCCTACCCAAGTCCCTAATATCTAAATCACCCAACCAAAGCAATATAATGCACAGAAATATGTGGATCATATAATTTCACTCCAAAATTAAAAGAAAAGTCAAGCAATAAGAATATGCTGTTGCTTGAAAGAAAATGAAGCCCATTACAAAATGTTTAGCTTTGTGTTGCCAAATACTCACGAGTAAAATAAATACAATTATGTAAATGAAGTATTACAGTATTTATACATCATATTAGTATTTGTTGTGCTGCCTTTTTTTTTTGCAGAATCCAAAATGAATCAAGAGAGAATACTAGGAACTACTAAACCTGGAAAGCAGCACATTTGCTTTTGATTTGCGGTGACATGCAAAATTGCGTCATTTTTAAAGAACACTTACTCTTCACCCCTTTCCTGAAGGTCTGCTGTACATACTTCAACCCCGAGACGATCTCTTTGTTTACCTGTAAGCAGATGTGGACCAGTGATGTGGCGTTCTTTCAGTGCAGCATGTTTGCATATGCAGTCGGTACACAATGTGCCAGTGTTTATCCCACAGCAGATTTATTCACGCAGCCATGACGTAATGTGGACATACAGGGCATCATAACTGACTGGATTATCCAATAACAGACACTAATACATGGTAAATTACTGTAAATTCAGTGATAATGCGACTTCTACTGGACACAGTTAATGTGCCATGAAATTGTTATACCGTGTAGAAGTTGAGCGATACCGTTCATCCCTAGCAATTACTGTTCAAATGTTTCCTGTTGTGATCATCTAACCTTGAAGCTGATCTTTATCCTGTACTCCACCGCCTCCTTCAGCACGAACGACTGCTTCTTATAGGACTCCAGATCACCTGAGAGAGGAACAAACACACGCTTAGCTTTATTCTATGACAAAATACATCAGAAATGTCCCTTTTTTAAACTCCCCCTGTGGTGAAAATCAAGCTTTTAATGTTGTTTCTATGTGGTGTTTTTAATATGCTTTAAGACAAACCATGTGTAAATTCATAAGTCGACAGCATTGCTGAGTATTTTCTCCTTAAAACTGCAGTGAACCAAAGACAGTCTCAAAAACACGGTTTGAAATCGCTGGTGTTTCTGACGTCACAAACTACCTTGTAACCAATCAGATCAACGTGTGATCGTCAACCAGTGGATCTCTGAGCTGAGTGAGTGAGTGGAGGCGGGGCTCATTTGCATATTCATAGAACCACGTTTACTAAACGAGGCAAGGGTGTCGAGTTACATTCAAGTTTTTTTAAGAAAGAAAAAAACATTTACAAGTGTCATTTTGGTGATCAAAGATGAGTTTTAAGGGATACAATTATTGACTACAGGGGGACTTTAAAGCTTTTACTTGTCTTGAACGGTCGATAACAAGTGTCTAAATGAGACTACAGAATCTATTTATATCAGCCATCCTGTTATATTGGCATTGGCCATTAAAAAGCAAGTATCCATTGACCACTAATAATGACCTGGATAAGAACAAATATGTAACAGAAAGTTGAGCTGGCGTTGTCAGGTGTGGTGTGAGGTTGATTGTGAACACACACTGCAGTTGAATCATGTTTCCAGCAGATGGCTGCAAGGACACACACACTCTCTCCTCTCATCTTCATCTCTCTCTCTCTCTCTCTCTCTCTGCTGTGCTTTATCTAGGTCATGTGACCGTAAGATTACCTCGCACCACAGGTTTGTTTGGCTTAGTCATAACTTGAATAACACTAACTAATAACGGCATGAATATATCCAAGAGAAATGAGCTCAGACTATTGCATCACAACATATACATTGTTGTGATGCGATTATATAAATAGGGTATTTGAATATACATGCTGTAGATTATGTAAAATAACAGTTCTCATGCTAAGTCTTATTTTCAAAACTAATTTGTAATGTTAATGACTAAATAAAAGCTCAAACAACGAGGTTTGTGTTCACATGTTTGAGCTTCCGCTGACCATATCTGATGTGTGCGCTGATGAATAAAATAAAAATGTACGACTCGATTCATATCGATTATGAACTTTTGGAAGCTTGATGTTTTTAATCGCCTTTCCACGGATGGACAAAGATGCTGAGGTTGAACGAAAGTCTTATGGGTTTGGAGCGACATGAGGGTGAGATGACAGGATTGTTATTTTTGGGTGAACTATCCCTTTAAGAACAGAAGTGTTCTCGACTCACCTTGCAGGTCAAGGGTCAGCGGGGCGGGAGCCGTCTCACACATAAGAGTTAACCGTGTCACCTGAATATTGGGAACGGTGGGATCTGCAAAGTGAACAAAAGAGACAAGAAAATGACATAAGAAACGCCGTAGATTGACATTTGTACATCCAGGGCCTGAATTTCATTTCAGAAAATGGCTGACTCTTATGGAAAGGATTTTTTTATGTTATGTGAGGGGGGTAATATTTTAGACAAATGTATTCATTAACCTAAAAATGCTTGCTCACTCAATGTATTTGTGTTTTTACAACATATTTTAAGAGCATCTTGCAAATACCCCAATGCACTACACATTATGTTCCTTTCCATTTATGAATAAAACTGATGCAATTATGTGCCGAATAATATTCAAGCGCACACCTTGGGTTCAAGATGTTAGCATTCACACAGCACAAGAGGATTTGAATTCAAACTTTGAATTTAATTTGGAAAATGGAAAACCAGTGCAGTCAGATTCAATTGTGTGTTGATCTCCAAACCAATCAAACGCTCATTCTGATTATGGTCTTGACTTCTAAATGTGGCTATAATCACACACGCTGATCATTGCATTAATATTTTACACACTTGAGATGAATGTTGTGCAACCGGACCAAAGAAAAAAGAGAAAATGACTAGACTGGGAAAACCCAGACAACTTCCGGCAAATTTAGATTTGCTCTGAAAGTTAGTCCGGCAAAGAGCTCATTCAAGCCCATTTCCAATCCGCCGAAATCGAGGCACCAATCAGAAACGTTGGGGCGGGCTTTACACGCTGACGACAGCGCTGGGATTTTGAAGCAGATTTTGTAGCCTACATTACAAAGATGGATGCCGCCGTCGAACATCACTCGTTCGAATCAGCTATCGCGTCTGTTTTAAGCGATTTGAACGTTTCCTTTTTGTTAAAAACCGAGCAAAGAACAACACTCGGAGATGTTTCTCCGCCACTCTGCATACGTCATCTCCTTCATCGCTCTGATTGGGTTTAGGTCTATCCGCGACGTCCGTTGGTGACGCCCCTCTGGAAATGATGCGTCTATGACGCTTTGCCAGACCATAACTCAGTTACAACTGAGAATGGTCTGGTTTTAACCAGGCTAGAAAATGATACATTTAGTCTTGGTTCGCTTAGCATTCACAACTGAATTTTTAACACCGAACCTAAAGATACAACACACAAGGAACAAGGATACGTTCACATCTTGATTGGACAGATTCTGCGACGCATATTTTGCGACGGAACTTAACGAACATCTAAAACGATGCTGTCTTCTGGGCTAAACGCGCTCGTTGTATGTGCGTACCATACATATGATGGTAATCTGACCAGCTGAGGACTCAAAAAGAGCTTATAAAAAGTGTTATGGAATCAAAACAGCTCCACGTTTGCACACACAAATAAAGATCTGCTGTGTGACGACGCGGTTTTGTACTGAACATCGCCACTATGATGAGAAAAAACAGGCATGCTTGAGCATTACGGTGTGTTCACACCGAACGCGAATTTAATTATTTGCGCGAGTAGATTACATACAAAGGCAATGCAAAGACGTGAATAGACGCATCATTCGCAAGTTGAAAAATTTGAACTCGAGCGAATGTTCAAGCGTCTAACTAGACGCGATAGACGCGTATTTGACGCTCTATTCGCGTTCGGTGAGAACACACCATTAGACCCTTTATAGGGTAACATTTTGTGACATCACATCCTGTTTTGGGCTCGTTTGCATGTCTGTGGTCCGTGTTGTGTTCATATTTCATTCGAACCGCACCAGAGTTCGTTTGTCAAGACCCATCTTTGCAGCGTCTCGGTCCACTTGTTTGGAGCCACCAGGGTTCGAGTAACCACACTAACAGAGGGTTCGTCTGAAACGAACCAAACATGCCAAGTGTGAACACACCCTAATATACTCGCTAAACTTGCATGCTAATGAATAAATGCAAGGAAACTTAAAAGCAGAACTCGTGGGAATGAGTCAAATTATGTACAACACTCGTACCAAATCCAGGCCCTGATATCACAAAGACTTGGCAGTAAACAACCACTGAACCAAGGATTCACTGGAGGTCTCACTGGAATGTGATGCCTACGATTAACAACGCCACATAACATGTTACATGAACAGCATTTTCTCATCACCTTCACCAGAATGAAGTCTAATTCGGAACAAACAATGGCCTTCACTTGAAAATGTTAAAATAACGAATCCTATTCCAGATTACAGAGACGCTGACAGCCCGACTTCCCGAGGAATGTGTGAGGACGAGAACGTCCAGAAAACACTTTTGTTTGTTTGAGCAGCTCAACCTCTGGCTCCGCTAATGTCGTGAGATCAGGCCGGGTGTTTAGTCGGACGAGGAGCGGGTGTATTTTGGGAAAACTAACTGCATTTGCTGCCGCTTGTTCTATAAGCAACTTCAGAGTTTTGTTTAGAGTACGACCAATAGCCCAACAACTGACGTCCAACCACAGAAACACACAGCTGGAGATTATCATCCATCCATCATCATCTCTGATATCACTCTACAGTAGGAAATGAGATTCAAAAAGCTCTTCAGGTGAAGGGATGAGCCGTCACACACAGGGTTATTGTAATGGCGGACCCCCGGTGAAAGCAAAAGGAGCAGGAACTCTCGAGACGTGGCCTCGTTCCTGAGAGAAGCAGACGTGAACCAAGAGTCTCCAGCTCTAGCCCAGAACAACATGATTTACCCGAGGAGGACACATTCCTGGATCAACATTATCTGATGGGTCCTGGAACGACTCGCGTATCTGGAGGAAAAATCACACGCTGAATATTTATCAAGCTACGATGCAACACCATATCAGCTTCAGCAATCGTGAGAGAGGACGAATAATCCTTCACAAATTGAGTTTAAAACACTTGCGCTAAGAAATGTACGTTCTGTAATCGTGTTCGTTTCATATGATTTTGATTTGGAGAAAATTTTAAAAGTTTCAATTCGGTGCCTCTAAAAATGTCATGTTGTATAATCAAAGAAAAGGCAATAACATTTCCCTGACATCGTCACAAGTTTGGGGTCGGTATATATATATTTTTTTAAATGTTCTTGAAAGAAGTCTCATGCTCGCAAAGGCTGCATTTATCAGAAATACAGTAAAAAACAGTAATATTCTGAAATGTTACCATTTAAAATAACATTTATAAGAATATTTAAGTTCAATATTTATCATTTTTTATAAATGCAATTTATTGTGATGCAAAGCTGAATCCAGTCTTCAGTGTCGTGTGATAAAAATCTTCTTTTTTTTACACAAATGTTATGAATAATTTAAGTTTTTGAGGAGATATTTTAGAAAGAAATAGAAAGGTTTTTATCGCCCAAACTCCGTCATGAGGGGCTGCAAGGGGTCTCTCCATTAGTCTGTCATATAAGCTACATACATTAATGATGAGAACATTATAATTGTGTGCTTAGGACATGGCTTTCAATGGAGACACTTTGGTTTGTGTAATCAGGTTCTCAGAAATTATATAATAATTTGGATTTTGATTTATCAGCCAATATATCGGCTTTTAAGTATAAAGAAATATCGGTATTAGCTGAAAATGTTCATATCGGTGCATCCCTAAATGCAATTTTTGAATGCATTAATACAACAAAAAGGGGGGGAAAAGGAGCATCATGTGATGCGCCAATGAGTCCGAGTCGAGACGTTTTACATGTTTCCATATTTCATGGGGATTGATCCATAGGCATAATGATTTTTATTAGGGCTGTCAACTTTAGTCGTTTAGTCTTGGTCGACTGACATTCTCATTGGTCGACCAGTTGCATTTTTTTTTTTTTACCAATAGAAATTAATTTTCATTGATTTACTCCTTGATATTTATTCCTTTTTAAGCAGTTATATATTACTGTATTCTAAATATAATTAGCCTATGTTTTATCCGCCAACTAAATGCTTTAATTTGGCTATTTTGTAACAGCTCCACAGTTTAGCGCACCACGTAGAACACCGTAAACAAATCCTTAACAACAACAAAAATGTTGCAATGAACGTGCTTTGTTTTAAATAAATCACACACAGTAAACAAAACCTTAACAAAGAAAAACTTTGCAATGAACATTGCAATTTGGACGCGCAAACTGGGTGCCGGTGCGGTGAGACGTAGCCTACACGCTCGGGCTGATTCGGCTTGAAGTCGTTCATCTTCGGATGCGGCGCTGTTTACAAAATAGCTGTGCACACAGCCAAGCAAAATGGGGTCTTGCAGGTCTTGCGCACCCAACGCGTCATTTTTGCCGTCCTCACCTTCGCGCTCGTGCGGACGCGTCGAGTATAAACAAGGCTTTACTCCGTGTCAGCGCGCGCTCTGACCGGTAAAGGTGCACAGACCTCTCCCGAATCATCTCCAGCAGTAGCAGCCTCCGTTTCCCTCTTAAGCTGATATTAGTATTTAAACACTCTCTATGATACATTTTTTTTGTTTAAAAATATTTGAATAGCACTGTTTTGGCGGTTATAGAGTTCTAATGACGGTGTTCAACTATAACCATCGGTCTCACGGTTATATAATAACCGTCACACCCCTAGCTCTATGACAATTGTTTAATAAATGTTAAAAAAAATGCAAAACATCGCGTCTTTTTTTTTTTTTGACTAATTGTTGCGCAGGACAGGACTTTGGTCGACTAAGCATTTCTTTGGTTGACTACAGCCCTAATTTTTATACTGTACAAACTGAATATTCTCTCTCCTAAACCTTCACATCATTTTCAAAAAGAAAATCAAAAAATGTGTCCATACAAGGGTATTGACATCTTTGTGGGGGCATTTTGTCCCTATAACATAGGGTTTATCAGAACCACACACACACACCTGTAGTGCATGCCAAGACATACTAATCATTTAAGCTAAAAATTAAAGCGTGTTGAAAGAAGAGCAGGTCCATGTGATGAATTCTGGGAAAGGGCCTGCTACACTACAATGTGTGTGTGTGTGTGTGTGTGTGTGTGTGCGCATAGAAACCTTCATCAAACTAGGCCAGAGAGAGAGAGAGAGAGAGAGAGAGAGAGAGAGAGAGAGCGAGAGAGAGAGAGAGAGCGAGAGAGAGAGAGAGAGAGAGAGAGAGAGAGAGAGAGAGAGAGAGAGAGAGAGAGAGAGAGAGAGAGAGAGAGAGAGAGAGAGAGAGAGAGAGAGAGAGAGAGAGAGAGAGAGAGAATGTGTGTGTAGGAGAAAGCGCCACACACCTGCAGCAACACTGCAGTTGCCCAGCAGCGCCTCCTTGTACTTGCGGAGGCTTTCGTCGTGCTGGTCGAGTTCCTGGATCTCCTGAAGGCTCTTCTGTGCCGGTGGCTTGTAGTTGACAGCCTCGCTCTGTTCGTTCTCCGCTGCGATAGCGGCCAGCTGCTCTGGTGTGGGCTCCTGCTCGGCCATGATGCACAGCTGGGGGGAGACCGCAACAGGGTTAGCGGAGAGAGGAAACACACACGCGTGCCACAGCGATGGAGATCTGACCCACATAACGTCATGTGACCAGTTCCTCCAGCGTGTTAATTGTTAATCATATTAATGGATGTGAAATGAATTCACCTTAGAAGAGGCCTAATGTGGGCGTCTGTGTTCGGCTCTATTGCATTAGTGGTCAAAACCAATTACTGCAGGGACTCAAACACACTGCACAGCGCTGTGTGTGTGTGTGTGTGTGTGTGTGTGTGTGTTGCCTATTTTTAGGCTGATTCACGATTAAAAAAAATGGTATATATAATTTCCCAATTTATTTCAAATGTATACAAGTTATGTAATACTAGAGTTTTATTTAAGTGCCCACCAAGGCTGCATCTATTTCATGTAAAATACAGTAAAACATTAAAATTTTACAATTTAAAAGTTTTCTATTGTAATATTTCAAAGTGTAATTTATTGCTGTGATCAAAGCTGAATTTACAGCATCATTACTCCAGATCCTTCAGAAATCACTCTAATATGATGATTTGCTGCACAAGAAACATTTCTGAATATTATACAATGTTAGAAACAGATGTGCTGCATCATATTTTTGTGGAAACGTTACCATTTTCATGATTCTTTGATTAATAAAGTTCAAAAGAACAACATTTATTTGAAATGTAAATATTTTGAAACATTAAAAACATAAAAATAAAGTGTCCTTGCTGAATTAAAATACTAATTTCTTCCTATATATATATATATATATATATATATCTTACCAACCTTGAATATTCTTAGTGTATATACAGTAGTCAACATTTAAAGTGGATCAAAACCTTTCATCAATGTTGTACATGAATTTTGAACAATACCCGTTCTTGTCTTAGGACTTAGGAATCAACTTTCTTTGATTCACTTCAAAATGTCGACTACTGTAGTTTTAAACGCTGTAATCCACTCCAGTCCGTGCAAAACAAACATGCACTCGTAAACCAGAACTAATGACTCTAAAGATTGTTATCTTTACTCATGACAAATGACTCTGACAGTCAGTTCCTGAATTAGCATCTGATTGGCTCGCTGTCTGGAGGTTTACATCCCCATGTCAATGTCACATCCTTACGACTCTTCACCCAGCGAGGCCTTTCAAAGATGTACGCTAAACAGAGAAGTGAATGCAGGGAAACGCTCGTGCTGCAATGCAGTCGGCTTGGACAGAAAGTGCTGGTGTTCTCTCCCTCCTGGCGCACTAAAGTCCGAACAATACGACGGCTTCACCTTTACAGCAGCTTTCCTGTTCTGCAGAGCTGCGACACACTGCGGCCTTTCCTTTCCTTACATGGTGTTGGCGTGCTAAACACACAGAAATCACACTCATAACCGAACTGAACCGCTTTCAGCTTCCTCTGACACGTGGAAGATGCATCTGCAAAAGAGTAATCGCGGTTCGCTGTGGTCTTTTGCACTTGTGATTTCGGCAAGTTGCTGACAAATCCAGGGCAAGCTCTAGTTTTATAGCAGGGTTTTATTAGGAAGTTCAGTTTTGTAGGGTCGTTTCAGTGATGCTGAATATGTGAACCACAGAATCCAGTCATAAAGAAAAGGAATTTACTGTACAAGGCGGATTGTCTTGGATTTTGGCATCATTTTGAATGAATAAATCAAAAGTAGGGCTGAACACCATAATAAATGGTGATATGGACTAGTGTCTGTGAATATTAAACCGCAAAAAAAAAAAATTGTAATGTTTATTTAAATATGTAGTCTGCATTTTCTACATATCATAATGCCATGGCTTTGTCAACTACACAAACTCAAGCATGCTTGACATTCATGATGTTATTAAAACTAAGGATTTGTTTTATTTGATTAATTCAAAACTGTAATATTGTGAAAAATTACAATGTAAAAGAACTGTAATATATTTTAAAATGTACTTTATTTTCAGCATCATTACTCCAGTCTTCAGTGTCACATGATCCTTCTGATTTGCTGCTCAATTAACATTTCTGATTATATTATCTGTGTTAAAAACAGTTGTGCTGCTTAATAGTTTTGGGGGAAACTAGCACTGTCACGATACTGGAATTTCGATATAATACCTTGAAAAATATCAATATTCGATAGCATTTTCCATACCACGGGGAAACTGCCATATACCGCCATATTACAGATAATTTATTATCATCTAAATGTTTTGACCATTTATGTAATTCGGTTGCAATAGCTTACACACAGAACAGGGAGGCTTTATTTGGGTCATAAATATCTTAAATTCGAATCATAAATTTAATAAACTTAATTTACATGACAAGTAAATGGCCAGTAATAAAATAATAACAAATAAACAAACTGCGAACAATAGCACAAATAAATACAATAGAATAAAGAGACAAATGAAATGAACATGGTCTTAAGTTTTTCATGTGGGTCTAACAGCAGTATTCAGGTAAGAAGTACTACAGAAACTAAAGTAGCACTGATGACACTGATAGTCTTTAATGTAAAAATGAAATACTGATTAATGCTTACAATTAAAGTTACAAATGTTATTCAGTCAAGAGCAGCGAGTGATTATCTCAGTCTTTTTTACATGATTATCATGACAGATAGCAGCAGGTTTATGAGGCTGCTGTCACTTTAAGAGCATGGATCCGATATACGGTCACACAACATGCGTTTTCTCTCGACTATTAATATTCCTAAACTGACTGTATTTACCTGAATACTCTGCAAGACGGGCATTTTGGCATAATTTAGCATGTATTTGACCGTAAGCGCAAATAAGCCACGAAAAAAAAAGCTCGCAAGCTGTTTGAGAGGCGGCTTTATGTGAGCGACAATAGATCAGTAGTGCGATGAACATTAAATAATGACTAAAATACTACTAATAATGCTGAATTTATACTGAGAGCCGCAGTTACATACATGCGTTATCTTAAAGGGCCTTAAAGTCGTCAAGAAGAGAAATTCACTTGGCCGCCAACAGCACAACAATTTCTATAAACCAGACAACTTGTTTCAGACAAAGATCTGCCAACTTATCTGACAAATAGTTGTAGTGAGGACCTCATTTGAACAAACGCGTGAGATATGAACCGGGAGGACAGAGAAAAAACATCCTCTCAGCATATGGTGTACTAGTACAGTCTGTAGGTCCTGCATATCCAAGGCAGATGTTGTTTGCGTAACACTTCGGGAGACTCACAAACGGACTGCATTACTGGTGCACACAATCTAGTGTGGTTAGCGGTTAATGTGCTTGAGCCACGAAAACCAACAAAACTGTTTTCTGCTCTATCATTAATATGGAAAATTATACAATGTAATCAATAAAAGAGCGTAACATTCTAGGATAATCTTCAAAGTCATCTTTGCCTTGTGAAAACAGTCTCAGTTTTGGCCGTGGATGGTTTTGGCCACGGTCAGACAGGAATTCAGATAACACTGCACAGCTTTTTTCCATTCTGGGCCTCTTCACACTTCTGACAGGGAGATAGGCCGGTTCTCCATCAGCAAGCTCTGGCACGCTGATCCAGCGGCTAGCTTTTCAAGTTTAGGATCAGAAGCGAGAGACACATGATGGGTTGGTCATGTTCCCATTGGGCCTAAACTAGGCGTGTCCATTCCTGCTCTTGGAGGGCCACCTTCATTGCGGTGTGGCTTCAACTGATCTGACTTGACATTTCTAGTGATCCTTGAAGAGCTTGATTATCTGGTTCAGGTGTGTATGAAGCTCTAAAAGTGGGCATGCTGAAGAGGACATTGAGAAAAACTGCTTTCCTTGATTTCTGGAAGTAAACGAGTTTGATGTAGGGGTGAAACGGTTTTGAGTAGTCGCCATTTTGGTGGTGGAATAATCGGAAAATAATCGATAGAAAAGTTGAGACCAATCGGACACTGTTATACAGATGGATCGCGCTTGGATTGGGTAGATCGTTTAGATTGACAGGTCTTGATTTACCTTGCGCCACAGAATAGGAGCACAAAAATGAAAGAGCGCTGGACTCTGGATAACTCATCCACCAAGATTTTATTACTTGTTACTTATGATTATAAATACTTTTATGCTTTTACACATGCAAGTAGTTCTTATGTTCAGTTAGATCACTTGTTTAGAGAGGTTTTTGGACTTGATAAAAGGTGGTTCCAAATCCCATATTTTTGATTGCTTTGAGATTATCAACACAAAATTTGGCCCAGATGCAGTTGAAATGATTAGCCGTGTTTCCACTGTCGGACCAAAACCAATGTTTATTGGTTGAGTAGATGGTAGTTTCAACTAATCTTGGGCCGGGGGAGGGCCTAGACATCAATAATCATTCCTGTTTGGCTCAGAGGAACAAAGGGTTTCAGGGTTTCTTTGACGGATCAATGCTGATCCAAACTTGATGACGCAATCATGTTCACTACGGACTGGAGCGTCTGAATGTCCAAAGGCGACAAACTGAATCTCCTCTTTACAAGACTTTTTAAAGCATACATATTCGATTAGCGGTTCAAAAGTTATTAAACATTTAAGCACAATAGTTATTTTTAGCCGCGGGCGACTGTATCGGTTTTTAAGGGTTAGAGACATTTAAACCGAATTCAGCTCTAAACTCACTTTCAGACACCAGCGAGTGTTTGAAATAACTTCAAATCGTGATCCGATGGGGATTCTGATCGTCGTATGAGGCAGAAATATTCACATGCAGAGGTGGGTAGTAACAATGTACATTCACTGTAAAAAAATAAACCGTAATTTTTACAGTAAAAAACCGGCAGCTGTGGTTGCCAGAACTTTACCGTCAAAAATACGGTAGCAACGTTATTGGTTTTACAGACTAAACTTACAATTTACAGTAATAAACCGTATTTCATTATCTGATATAATGCTAATTTACCGACCAATTGAAGTATTAATATCTGTTTTGAACCATTGTAATACACTGACAACCAACAATCACAGCAGTGATGAGTCACATGATCAATCAAAGCTCTCCACAAGCAGC